GCCCCTTGGAGATGTTTTCATCATGTGACGGCATTGTTTTTGCCATTCTGCACATTCACAAAATTGATTTCATTCACAACATGCCACGTTTGCCTCATTAAATCATCACTCAGTAACTATCAATGTTCGATTGGGTCTGCCACAGATGCTTTGCGCTGCCCATCCCCGCCAGCTCATGTAAAAATCAGTGCTCGAGTGCTCAGAAAAATGCAAGTTAAGGCTGAGGACAGGCAGCACACTGGCCTGGCCTGGACTGGATGGGGGGCAGATCAAATTAATTATGAATCAGAAAACAATGTAATTACATGAAATCCGATCGATGAACATGGGGCCACTGGCACAAACCAGAAAGCCACTCTGAAAAAACCAATGCTAAAAAAATGCGAGAAAATCAACGAAAAAGGTAGAAAAAAAAGGTAGCAAATGCAATTGACATTTTTACAACGTTGTGTAGCCAAGGAACGTTGTCGTCGCTGCCTTCGGGGCCGGCCAAGCGAGAACAGCAGGGAAAGTTCAGTTTCTGTTCAGTTTCAGGCACAGAAACATGACAAATATCTGTGACAATCGACTGATTGTTGTTGGGTGCTGCTCTCTCTCTCTCTCGCTCTGCTCTCAGCTGGCATCCATTGGGGATCCGCTGGCTGTGGAACCCGTTTGCGCACGCGTGAATGCCGCTGAGCCAGCGGGAATTGTTTGATGGCGCTAAACGGCCTGTTGGGCCTTCGAATGCTGCAGCCGCCTGACTGCTGTGCTAATAGTCAGAGATATATATCACAGCGGGAAGTGTGTGCCAGCCAAAGCCAACCCAAACGACAACCCAAACTTGGTAACATGTTCTACGGGAACTTTACCATGGGACAGCAGGGGAAACCCAACCAAATGACAAGCATAGCGATCCGCCTTTTCCGCATTAGATGGAAATAAAAGGTTGACTAAACAAAAAAGGGGTTTGCCGAATTTCACATTGAATGAAACGAAACAGCTTTAAATTTGATGTTGCCAAAAAAAGTTTAGACATATTTAATAGGGATGCCAAATAATGCTCTGAAAGTGAAGGAATTTTTGTAGTTGTTGGTTGGTAGAATGAGGAAGGAACTCAACATTTATGATAAGTAGTTGGTCAGTTAGATAAAAGGTTCTTCACTGACTTTTCCCCCTCTGAAGGTTCCTTCTTGTTCCTTTTCTTCATTGGAATTTTCTCTGAAAAATTGAAAAAAATAATCCCAAAACAAATTTAATTAATGCTTCAACGAATTAAATAAATTGTACTCAACAATTTTAGGCTATTTTTAAGGCATTTTTCGAGATACATTTTTTGCCAATTTTTATATGTATTTTTTGCACTTTGAACTGCGCATGGAAAGTTTTTCTCAGCTCCTCCTATTTTCAACGCGCGAATGGCAAAGCGCAACACACACAGACACAGAGCAGAAAAGCTCAGGCAAAAACACATCTACAGACACACAATCGTAGGCGCCAGTCACACATACGGTGGCAGTGGCTGGGGCAGGGGCAGAGGCAGTTGGTTGAAGTGTGAGGGAGGGAAGCAGTGGCAAACGGAAGAGGCAGCGCAGCAGCAGCAGCTTCGACTATTTTCGTAGCATACTTTTAGGTGGTGGCTGCATCTTCGTACATGGTCGGTCTCCTCTGTGTGTTCTCGTGTGTGTGTGTGTGTGTGTGTGTGTGTGTGGGGCTATGTACATATATTTATTTACTCAACTGTCACTGCAGTACCACGCCCCTACATAGCATCCACACACCCTCAAGCCACAGTGCCACTAGCCCTACACCCATCCAACCTGCGCTCTTCTTACATATATTTTCAATTTGTCTGCAGCTTGAAATTGCTTTTTTGTGCATTTTGTCAAATGAATTTTCCACGTCGCTCACAGGAATTATTTGGAATTTGTTTGCAGCTGCTGGGGCTGGCTTCTCATCCTTAAACTTCCATATATTTCGTTGATTTATACGCATTATACTACTTGGGGCATGCCAGTATATATGCACGGGTGTGTGTCACTGTATTTGTGAGCACTAAAATTCTTATCTCGTCGTCAACTAATTTTGTGATTGCATGCTGCTGCTGCTGCTGCGTCTGCCAGCGAGAAGAGCAGGGAAAAATGCTCTGAATTTAAATTGGATTTTTGCGCACATTAAAATGCATTTTCCATCGTGTTAGTTATGAATGCATATGAGACGAAGGCACTACGACGCCCTCTTTCTACAGAATAGGGGAATGGTGCAGGTGGTTTGGGGTATGGGAATAGGGAAAATCAGGAGCACCTACAGCGACTACACTAACGTTTCCTCTGCCACTACGTTTCCTCAGCGTCGGGCAAACATTTAGCAATGTTTTCCAGCATTTCGGAAATAATTGCCGACATTCCATTCCGAATGGAGCCATAAAAAACCCCACGTGACGTGACGGTTAGCCACAAAACCAACGAAAAGGCAAACAGCAACAGCAACAACAAAAGACAAAGGGAAAAAAAATAAATATAAAATGTAACGAAATACTCGTTACGTGGCCAGAACATAGAACATGGCTAATTCTTGCATGACAATTTCACATTCATAACCCTTTTTGCCGGTGTCCGGCTGTCCGCCGCTGGTCGACAATGCTGGGCCAAAGCTGCCTGCCTGCCAGTCTTCCGTCTCATAATTATGCTCTATGAAGGAAACTGTGATGGGGTGGATGGATAAGCTCTATAAAGAGGGTGGACATGTGGATCTCCTAGCAGTATATAAAAGCAATGATCCTCAGAGGCGCGTTCTTCAATTCATAAATTAGAAATCCCAAATTTTCACTAACTTAAACCTCCAATTTCCATTCATCAATCTCAAGTTAGTGATGTTCCCTCTGCCAGCAGAGTATTCCCTAGTTCATATGAATCTTTTCTTTACCATTTTCCCCCAACTGTGACACGCTATTTTGTTTGTTTTTTCCACCAGTTGTATATCATGGCATTTCCACGGCTATTTTGTAAGCCGCGATTTGCGATTGTTCATTTCCAGCGGTCTGTTAATTGTTAATTTTTATGGTCTGGCAATTGCCACGACTAGAAGAGCGAGCAATGGGTGGCAGGCAGGCAGATACAACAGACCGAACCGAAGCCAACAGAAAGGAAACAAAAAATAGCTAAAAAGAAACAGACAGTGGAAATAAAGAAATTAAAGTGCCATTGCCCGACCCGACCCCCTGCTGCAGGGAAGAGGTTGCTGGATTTTTTTAGAAGAGCCTATAAAAACAATTTAGTAAGCAATAAAAATGCTGAAAATAGCTTCAAATTGAATTTCAGCAAGAGCATGCAACGTTATTTTATCTATCGATAAAGGCTAAGATACTCGAATGAGTAGAGGAAAGGAAAGGCAAGTGTGTGTGTTGATAGAGGGGAGTTGGCCAATTGCCTGGGTGCCTGCCAACACCCACGGCTCTGCTCAGGAAACATCAAAAAGCGAGGCCATTAAAGGATTCCCTTTTTTTCCCACATTCGTGGGGCAACCCTTTCACGCACTTACGCAGCTTGAGAACAAACATTGGCAGAAAGGGTGGGCTGGGATGGTTGGGTGTTTCAATTTTAAAGTAAATATTTGCCTCTAGGGTGCTTTTGATATTTATTACTTGTACCTTTTTTCGGGAGCCGGGGGGCAGGTCATTCTGGTCACTCTGGTCACTCGATAGTGAGCGGACATTAGAGCCCTCGAAAGCCATTTGCAAGGCAATCAATTTGGGCATTTCAAGTGGTGACTATTGCTCTTTGCTGTCAATTGGATTGCTCGTAGATCTCACCAGTTAATTCAAACAAATTGCAATTATGGGTCCAAAACCAACCCACTCCAGCAGCAGCAGCCCACAAACAGACAGCTGACAAATGACTGAAAGGCAAAGGCTGGTGGCTGGTGGCTGGGGGCTGCGAGGAGACATTAAGCGATTAACTCGTTGAGTCCGAGACTGGAGCTGGCAGCGGGCGACTGGTGACTGAAGCTCTGGGAGGCTGACTTAAGGCAACTTAACATATTGTTAACGTGGGCAAACGGCATGTTTTGGACCAATCCTCAATGTCTTAAGGGGATTACGGTGTCCTTGCCTGATGATGCGTTCCATCCAGTCTCCCTCTGCTGCCCAATGACATGCAAATGTATGCAGATCTGCGCCTTTTGTCATGTCAACGCAAGGCAAATCGACAACCGAACCGAAAAATGTTTCTAACCAACTCAACTCGTTGTGAAACCTCTTGGTTTCTGGCTGTGACTCTCTGGCCTCTGTCTGTGTCTCTTCTCTGATATTTCCTTAAATCTGCGCGCATGTTTTGTGTGGCACATATAAAAAATGCAAAATAAATGCGTAAATCTCTAACAGCGAAAGGTGGAGACCGTGGTGGGATTCGGGGGCCTAGTAAATGTGTCTGCAAAGTTTTTTTTTGCTCTCAGTTTTTTTGCAGGTGCCATCCATGTGTCTTTTGTGTGTGTTCCCCTCTCCGTGTACCTTGCCCGACGAGGACAACGTAGCCAGCCGGAGCGACAGTTCATCAACAACTTGACTTGTGATTTCCGGTTTTCTGTTTTTATTTTTTTGGTCGTTCACTTACTTTAAAAGCGGATTAGGCGGAGACAAACGCCCACGGTGGCATTTGCGTACATTCACGAGTATGGGAATCGTGAAGGGCTTAGTTAGCATGTCTGAGAATCGCTGATGTGGGTTCCCTTATGCTTTCGAGCTGAAAGAATGTCAAGGTGGAATCAAGTCAACTCAATGATGTGGGGAAATGCATTAAGAAAGGACGTTTGATTAATGTTTAAACAGAATACTTGCCAGGAAAGTGCGCTGCTTAAAACTCTTTAATTCCATAGAAATTTCTCAATTTCCTTAACCCCAATCTCCAAGCTATTCCGAATGGGAATTTGTAGGCAAAAAAATAGATTCCAACACATTGCTTTTTTTGCATTTTTCTCCAACACAATTTCCCTTTCTACTCTTTCTCTTCTTGGATGTTCAACAGCTGCCGCCGCTTGTTTGGAATTCACACATCCACAGCAGCGTTTAGAAGGCAGCCACCTGATCCAGCAAACGATGTGCCAAAAAATCCCAACCACTTGAACCTGAGGCCATACCCTGACGCACACTCCCCGCTACCGTGCTGCGGCAGTGCAAAAACAATTGTTCGAGAGTAGAAAAAATAAAGCGAAAATGTTTTAACGCTTCGACGCATAACGACAACAAACAAATCGCTTCATTTAACAATAAATAGCTGCCAGCTACGACGGACGACGTTTCCAAAAAAGCAAACACACGCAACACAGAAGTGAAAACAATCGCTGGCAGAAATGTTCAACTGAAAAAATAATCGCTTACTGAACACACGGCAAAAGCGTTTGGCATGTGCCACGCCCAAGCTCGGCCGAAGGTGCACCAAGTGGCACTTGTTGAAGATCGAAGCGAATGGTTCGTGCTCCCCCATTTGGCAATTAGATTGAAAGACCCACACTTCAGCACATTAATTACGAGCATGCGGACTGTCTGCCCGCCTGTCTTCTCAGCTCTACGCGTAATTGCCGGCCGATCCAGTGGGGCATGGCGGCTGTAAATTGTGTACGGCATGTTCCACCTGGAAATGAAGTCAAATTAACAATAGACCAGCTCTAGGCGCTGGATAATTATGATGATAATAATCAGCCATACAGCAGGGAGGATGGAATGGCCAATGGACATGCATCTGCCATGGTTAAGTTCTGTTCTTTTGAGATTAAAATAGGCCCCAAGCCAAGTGCACTCTTGGCGCTGCCTCTCCGCTCTTTGGGCTGTCCAAAAATGTGCAGCAAATTGAACTTGAGGCCGGCAACATGCAACTTCCTTCCTGGGTAACTTGGTGACTTCCTTGGCTTATCCTGACCCTCGATTCTCGACTGGCCACCGGCTGTGGCATGCCATTTGGCCATTTTGCTCGTCACATTTTGAGGCTAATTAAATCCACGACGGTGCAAGAAAAAAAAAAACCCGAATGCTAAACACTTTCCGGCATTGACATTTTTTCTAGACGTTCAAGTTGAGTTGAGTGGAAAATATTAAGCATACGACATGTGCTGCCGGTCGTCTCACAAGCCAAGATTTATGTTATGGCGGCCCGGCCGCCGGCTTATTTCTTTTCATTTTTGTGCCAGGACCTGCTCTACACACAATTAAAAGTGTCTAACAAAAAAAAAATTGTGAGGCCGGAAATGTTTGCCTGGTGATATTTATGACACTTTAAAGACTGCTGACAGCAGTCCTTGGTCTGCTTTAAGCGATTCCCTCGACACGGCTCCAAGGCTTTCAAGGACTTTGGCAATTAAAAATGCGGCGTTGGCTTATCGCACGCGCCAGGACAAGTGTTGGCTCCGGTGGTTTTCCTTCGCTTCGGTTCGTTCTTTGCTGGTTAAAAAGTTTTCTCCCACCGACAAGGTGTTGAAAGTTTCCGCGTAACTTTTCGCCACAGCCTGTGTAATCCATGGAGGGGGAGAACGAGAGAATTATATAGTGGGAGAGTGGGAGTATTGCCGCTTTAATCCTGCTTCGTCGGTCCTTTATTGCGACTGATAAGAGAATAAGTGTTGAGCAAATTTATATGGCGAACAGGCAATTAGCGGGCTAATCAAATAATCCGCTGCTAATTGTGGAAACCAGTCTCTGTGTCTGGTTCATGGCAAGCTGGAAGCGACGCGGCTGCAGGCCGCTGAGCAGCTCCATGGTAAATAGTATTATCAATTGGGAGCGGACCTAGGCAAAGGATCCTCACTGCAGCAGGCTCGCCATTGTCTTGTTGGCTAAGCAAAACACATGATGCAACAGGCAGGACAACACGAAGATCCAGTAATCATATTTTTCTTCTTCAACTTTGAATTTTGTTGTTCAGCATTCGCAGTATCCCAACTCAAATTACCGAATTACTGACCATTAAAATGCACATGAAACATTCTATAAAAACAAGTCAAAACTCAGTGCTGGTAAATCCTAAGATTTAATGTGCCTGTTAAACCTTTCTGCCCCAGCAGATTGAATGTACTTTTGTGCATTAGTTTTGCATTTTCCACCAATATTTCAACGGAACATTAACATTTTTGCGAAACATTTTGCCACACAGAAAACCCCACAGTGTCATGTCATTCCCCCCCCTTGTTTGGTGCGAGCAAAATCCACTTTGATGCGCCTTTCATGTCCAGAACTTACAGAAACCTCACACCAACTGGAGTAAAGAATAAAGTCCTGGCCATAAGGCACACATTGACGCACCTCATGCGGCGACAACGACCAGGGACCAGGGCATGTTTCTGTAATACCCGCGCAAAATATGACCAAAGCCCAGGCACAAAGCTCCTTTAAGCACACGCCACAGGACACAGAGAGAGAGAGAGGGAGGGAAGGAGGCATAGAAAAGGCCTAAACAAAATGTTCACACTAAGCACACCGCCAAAAGTCAAACAGAAGAAAACACTAGTCAGAAGACACACAGCAGAAGCGGTGGAGCGGTGGAGCAGTGTACCCAGCAGACAGGCACAGAAATCTCTGCTCAAGTTTCGAGGTAAATTTATGTGCCTCGGGGCGGTAACTTCATTATGCAATGACCTACAATGAAATGGGCGCTGGCGTTGCACAAAATTTATGTGCAAAGTTGAGAGACAGCCTAAGTACGGCCACAGCGAGAGAGAGAGAGAGAGAGAGAGAGCGCCCAGGCAGTGGTTTACCCTCGGCTTTTCCCCAGACATGTTGAAGTTGTCTTTACCCCCGTTTCCCTCTTAACTTTAGAATAGTTTTTTTTGTTTACGACAATGGCTGATAAAATGCCAGGGGAAAGCTATTGAATGAGCTCTCCATGAGCAGTCACAGCAGAAGCGATAAGAAGCGGCTAATCAGCCAGCAATTACTCGGGTCTGGGGAGCAGTTCACAGTTGACTTGCTGCTGAGGAAGTTATGCTGCTTAAAAGTCTCCTATTTGTGGGTCTCCTTGCCCTCGTTTGTGGTGTCCAGCAGGTGCGCTACGACAACTACAAGGTGTACAATGTGAGGATCGATGAAAGGGAGCAATTCAATCTGCTCAATGCACAGGAGAAACTCTTGGGGGTAAGACAAAGCATTTGTTTCATAAAAGACCCCACTGAGACTGTCCCCCATTTAGCTTAGCAGCTGGCGTGAGGCTAGACACTTGGGTGAATCCTCGGACATTATGGTGCCCCCGGAGTACGAGGATTCCTTTGAGAGTCTTCTGCTCAAACACAACTTCAACTACAGCCTCAAGATTGACAATGTGCAGCGTCACATTGATGCCCAGCGGCCGCGGCAGCGTCAGCGCATTGGCCACCACGAGTGGACACAGTTCCACACTCTGGATGAGATTTATGCGTGGCTGGATCTGATCGAGTCACGTTATCCAGACATAGTCACACCCTTCACCATTGGCAACTCGTACGAGGGCAGGCCCATTCGTGGTGTAAAGATCTCCTACCAGCAGGGCAATCCAGCTGTTTTCATTGAATCGAATATTCATGCCCGCGAATGGATAACCTCCGCAACGATCACCTACTTCATCGATGAGCTGCTGGTGCCACGTAATCCTGGTGTCAGGGATATAGCCTACAATGTGGATTGGTACATAATACCCGTCCTGAATGTAGATGGATTTGTGTACTCCCATGAAGTGGTGAGTGTTGGGCTGGCGATTAGATCGCAGACGTGCCGTGCCGTGCCGTGCCGCTTCGTTTACGATGCCTGCCACTTATCTTATCGCTAGCTACTCCAAGTGGCAGTCAATTACGACTAATAATTATTATTCTAATGCTTTCTGTTCACTCTCTCTTTGATCGATTGATCTAATAGGAACGTTTGTGGCGCAAGTCTCGCATGCCCTCCGATCCCACGGGCGAGTGCATTGGCACCGATCTGAATCGCAACTTTGATTTCCTCTGGATGTGTCAGTATCTAACACACACTTTTGTTGACCCACTCTATAGCTGTTCTGTTTATCTCTGTTAGTGACAGGCGCTAGTGATGATCCCTGCACACAGACCTATGCCGGACCCTCTGCCGAATCCGATCCAGAGATCAGCCAACTGACGGCGTACATCGACAACTCCATACCCGAGGGCAGCATCAAGATTTACATTTCCCTGCACTCTTACGGGCAGTATGTGCTCTCCCCTTGGGGTCACACCGATACGGAGTTCCCCGAGCACTATCCCCAGATGATGCATGTGGCCAAGGGCTTTGCGGATGCGCTCTACAGGCGTTATGGCACGGAGTTTACTTACGGCTCTAGTGCCACAACTTTGTGTGGGTTTGCCAAATTCTCTCCCCAGTGGTATTTCCCCATTATATTTGTGTTCCTTCTGCAGATCAAGTCTCTGGATCGGGCAAGGAGTGGGCCTATGCGGTGAAGAACATAACCATACCCTACACAATCGAACTGAGGGATAAGGGGGAACTGGGCTTTGTGCTGCCGCCCGAGGACATAATTCCAGTGGCACGAGAGGTGACAGAGGGTTTTGTGGGCATGATAGCAGCCGCCCGGGAAGTGGATATATTGTAGAAAATAAAAACGAAACCCCCCCCCAGCACCACCAACCATTTGTACAGTGGAAAATGCTCCCCCCGTTTGGCGGCGCCACTGCGTCGAGAGTCGAGCTGCGAGTGTCGAGAGCTTTTGCTCCGCCCCAAAAACGAGAGGCCAGCAAATCAGCAACGAGAGGCATCGTTGTTTTTGGGTGGGTAAATCAAAGAGTCGGGAAAGCGAATGTGCGAGCACGAATCGTTGTTTGATAAGGAAGAGCTAACGGCAGCAGAACGGTTGCATCTATGGCTTTGCTTTCTTTTTTGGCGCCTCGCGCTGTGACTCCTCAAGTGCTGCTGGTTGGGCAGAGAGTCTCCGCCTCTTTTCAACGCGCGCGCAGCATCCTGTTGGACAAGGACAAGGCTGCTAGCAGCAGCCACCGAAGCAGCTCCTACACGTATGCGCGTGCCAGGAGGGGGAGGCCATACACTAACACTAATCGCAGCGAATGGCAAACGACCAGCGTAGAATATTCTTCAGCGTTTTGTACCCACAACATGGCGTCACTCTCTGCTCTATGTACATGTCTGTATATAGGCACCTCCACACACATAGAGAGAGTTGTGTGTTGGTTGTTGTGTTTGTGTACGCTTGCACTTATTTATTTTTTTTTGTCAATTTGTCTAATGAAATTGCGTTTTCCACTTGCGTCGCACAGCAATCCAACATACAGACATAAATGGGGAAAGGGGAGTCAGCAGCAGCACAAATAAAATGCCACGAAAAATCTTGGAAAATTCGAGAAAATATAACGTTGACACTTTCCTATTTTTTTTGAGCGTTGAAGCTCTTTCTTGGACCCGAGTGTGTGTCCTGTGTGTGCCTCTTCACTCACTGTTCTTTCTGCATATAAATTGAAATTTACTAACCTCCGCCGCTTCCTCTCTTGTACTCCCTCTCTCCCTCCAACTCTCTGGTTGTCAGTTGCACCTTTATGACAATTTTCCCGTCACTGCCACTGCCACTGCCACTTCCTTTTTCCTCAGTTTTTTCTGGATATATGTATGTTGCGCATATTGCGGTGATGAATTTTTCTCTTTGAGTTATAGCCCAGAATGGGCTGCAATGGCTGGCAGGTGGGGAGAACTCCCGAAAACTGTAGCCCCAACGGTGGCAATAAAAACTTACTTAGCCAAATTGCAATAAGCCCCGACTTGCCCTGGCGCCACAAAGTGAAAATTTCTAATTTGTATAATACATTTTCTTGCTGCTGTATAAGCAGAAACATGCAGATTGTTTACTGATCATTTCGGAGTTTTAAAAGAGTATTTAAAGAAGATTTCAAAGATCTCTGCATATCAGACATATTTATATTTTCAATTCCCTACTTAAGATTTCTCATCTGAAATACTTCTGAAAACTCACTTAAAATTCTTGTACAAAATTGAAAGTTGCCAGTTTTAT